CAGGGCCAGGATGGGGAGAAGTGAAGTCACCTTGTCAAGAGAGATCCAAAGACCATTTCGAATCAGGGGCTTAGGGGAAATTGCTAGTAACAGGCGAAGAGAAAGGCATGTTGGGCTAAGAATGAGGACTGTGAAGGTAGGTGTGGAGTGGGCCGCATCAGGACCTAGACCCCAGCTGGGTCATGCACAGGGGAAAGCATGTGGTCTGTGTGGAGAGGACGGTGCCAGGCAGGAGCCCTGGAAACTCGAAATCCTTCCCCTGCTGCTACCCTTGAAGCCCAGAGGGCTGTTCCCAAGATCCCCGCCCCGCTCCCACCCCCGCCATTCTCTGCAGGGTCCCACTTCCTTCTGTCTCCATCTCCCTTTAATCCCATTCCCTGGCGCAGGTGGACAGCCTCTCAGTGACTCTGGGACCACTGGGTGTTCCTGAACTCATGGTGTCTCAGCCAGGCTGTGCTTATGCAATTCTACTGTGTACCTGGAAAAAGGACACTGGGTCCCCTCCTGCCTCCGAAGGGCCCACGGATGGCAGTAGGTAAGGGGGTACAGGCCTGTGGATGGTGTGGGGGTGCATGGAAGCAGGATGGGCTCCCAGATGGCACGTGGTAGTCAAATGGGTCTGCAGTTGGCAGAGCTGCCTCATCTAGGTCCCAGCCCGAGCACCTTTGCCCCACTGGGGAAGATTACGTTAGGACCAAGGGAATCCTGGGCTCTAACTCTGTAGCACCTGAAAGAGGTCCTGAGATTCCAACCTGGCAGCGCCATCCCTGTCTCTTCTCTTTGCCACATGGACCAGATAGGGTCAGTGGCAGGTTTCTAAGCTGATTCAAATCCCAGAAGCTCTTGCAGGGATATGGGTTACAAAGGGCTGGAGAACTCAGCTCACTTGGTCTCTCGCTTGATCCTTCCACCCTCCCGTGTACAGGGAGACCCCAGCTACCCGAGATGTGGTGCTGCACCAGACATCTGGCCGTATCCACAACAAGAATGTCTCCACTCACCTAATTGGCAACATCAAACAAGGTGAAAGTGCAGTGGGGGTGAGGGAGGGAGATGAGGGGCAGCCGTCAGTTCTGGGAGAGTGGAGATCCATAGCTTGCCCCTCATTTCGAGCCCTGTCCTTTCCCTGCTGCTGCAGAATGCCCCTCTCCCCGTAGGCTCTGACCTTGCCCTGCCCTTGACGTTTTCTTCCTCTGGTCCTCCTGTCCTACCCACAGGCCACGGCACTGAGAGTAGTGGCTCTGGCCTCTTTGCCCTGTGCACCCTGGATGGTGAGCAATGCTGGGATGGGGCGTGGGGGCTGTATGCCTGTAGGGTCTGCTCGGGGCCTATCCCACCCACGCTCAGCCTGCCTCTCCCCCTGGCAGGGACACTGAAGCTCATGGAAGAAATGGAAGAAGCAGACAAGCTGCTGTGGTCAGTGCAGGTGGATCACCAGCTCTTTGCCCTGGAGAAACTGGATGTCACCGTGAGTGGAAAACCTGGCAGAGCAGAACATTCTTGCATTTTCCACATGGAGAGATGAGATTTGGAATAATCAGGCTATTCTCACATCCCAGGGAACTCCCAACCTTTATCTTTAGTCTCTGTGTCTTTTTTTTTTTTTTTTTTTTTGAGACAGGATTTCCCTCTATCCCCTAGTCTGGAGTGCAGTGGCATGATCTTGGTTCACTGCAACCTTTGTCTGAAGCCATCCTGTCACCTCAACCTCCTGAGAAGCTGGGACTACAGGCGTGTGCCCCCACACTTGGCTAATTTTCCTAAACTTTTTGTAAAGATGAGATCTCACCATATATGGTTTCAAACTCCTGGGCTCAAGCAATCCTCTCGTCTTGGCCTCCCAAAGTGTTGGAATCACAGGCGTAAGCCACTGTGCCCGGCCTTAAGTCTCTTTAGATAGGTCTAAATCCATCTGAAGCGAGTTTGTTTCCTCTTACTCTACCGTAGGTTAACGGCCTATAACCGTGCTGTAGAAGGTCTGTCATTTACAAAAATAAAAACTGGGCGGTCGGTCTGTCCAGTATAGGCTGACAGGAATGCAACGGACGAGCTTGCAGGCTCCCACACTCCAGCTGCACAGAGCGACCCTCAAAAAAAAAAAAAAAGTCTGTCATTTCCATAACTTCAGCAGAAGTAGTAGCCCTAAAGAAAAGTTACTGTAAGAGCCTGGAAGTATGTTATTCGTCCCAACTCCAGAGGCATATTTTGTAGGTTTTTCTTGTCCATATATAAATCTCTATTTAATGTCACTATGGCCCCTGAATCAGCAGGCAGGGGCTACACTTTATATTGTCGTCAGGCATGCTTGTTGGTTTAGGAGAAGAGGCAGACCTGGGTTTGAGTCCTGATTCTGCTGCCTCCTAGCTGAGTGGCCTTGGGTAAGTGACTCTATTTCTACAAGCTGAGGTTTCCTCAGTATAGAATTGCCTTCTTCCTACGGTGGCTGTGAGCATTATGTGACAGCTCATTTGACAGTCCCATTTACTGCCCAGCCCATGGGTGAAATTCCTCCCCAGCTGGCTGTTTGTCATCCAGAGTCCAGTCCGCAGCTCCTTTATGTTCCTTGTCTCTGGCCTTTTTCAGGGCAACGGGCATGAGGAGGTAGTTGCATGCGCCTGGGATGGACAGACATACATCATTGACCACAACCGCACCGTTGTCCGCTTCCAAGTGGATGAAAACATCCGTGCCTTCTGTGCAGGTGACCCCCGCCCTCATGGCCCCTTGCTGACCACACTTAAGTTAGACAGGCGTGTTAGATATGCCAGGGAAGTGTTTGCCCCTCACTTCCCTTTCTGCCGTATCCCCTGATGGAAGTCTTCATTCACCAATGAGTTCTTCAGCTCTTTTGTTTGGGGGTGAGGGGTGGTCACTACATTGCCATCTTGACAATCTTAAATAAGAAATAAAAGACAGCAGCATCTCCACCCCGGAATATTTTAAAGAATGGCATGAGTTTCTGTCATCGGTCTGGGATGTGTGAAGACATCAGGAAGTTCTTTTCCACCTGAGCATGCCAGGTCTCTGTGGAGAAAGGTCTCCTAGAACATTTTCATTAGTTCCAAGTCAGGGGCCTTGGGAGGCAGCACTCACTCTCTGGGTGACTGGGTGATGCCTTTGGAAGGAGGGATTGGCACCGAAGAGAAGCCTTACTTCCTGATCGTGTTCTGCTAGTCTCGCCCTTGGGCGAGCAAGGCCGTCCCTCATCACTCCAGGGGTATCACTAAGATGGGAAAATCAACAAATAGCACCTTTTTGGATTCTGTTCTGCCTGGGTTTTGTTGCTATGGTTTTTCTACATCTGAAGTGAGCCAGGTCTTTTCCCATCTTATCTGTTTTACTGAGTTCCTAACAGAAAACAAATAGAGAACCTTTCATTTTTTTCCGGACATCAGTGGAGGATAGGAAGTGCTGACTCGAAGGTCTGTGTTTTGCTGTCTGCCCCCCACCACCAGCACTGAAACTTCCTGACCTTTGTCCCCCTGCCCACATCTTCCAGGCCTGTATGCCTGCAAAGAGGGCCGTAACAGCCCCTGCCTCGTATATGTCACTTTCAACCAGAAGATCTATGTGTACTGGGAGGTGCAGCTGGAGCGGATGGAGTCTACCAATCTGCTGAAACTGCTGGAAAGCAAGCCGGAGTACCACAGCCTGCTGCAGGAGCTGGGTGTGGGTGAGTCCCAGAAAAGCCAGTGGCCTGGGTGCCCAGGAGACCCACAGCCTCTCACCCACCCCTTCTTGGCTCTCAGATCCTGACGACCTCCCTGTGACTCGTGCCCTGCTTCACCAAACGCTCTACCATCCAGACCAGCCACCACAGTGTGCTTCCTCAAGCCTCCAGGATCCCACCTAGCCGTACTTGCCTCAGAGCTGGTGAAGGATTCTTCCGAACCCCCACCCTACCCCCTAAAGGTATCTGTGATATTGGCAGGATAGGGAATATGCATTACAGAAATGCAGGCTTTGACTCTGGACATGAAAGATGGCAGCAGCGCTAGGGTGACCATGAACTATAGACCTTGCAGTCTTTTTGGTGAAAGAAGAGACAAGTTGACCCTCTGCCCATTTCCTTGTGGACCTCATCCATCACGCCAGCAGGGTCCTAGGACCCTGGCCTTGTTCCAGATCATCTGGGACATGTCCCACTTCCCACTTTGACTGTGTTGAAAACAGAGACTTGTTTGCGTGGCCCCAACACCCATAAGGAAACCAGGCTTTAGGCCCAGGGGGGCAGTGGAGGTAAGGGCTCCACCCCATCTTAAGCTCTGTCTTCCATGGCATAATTCCAAGTTCTTGACGTTGGTAATTGTTAAAGGAATGGCAAACTTTTGTTTTGAGGGATCTTTCTACAGTCTGGTCTCACCCATGTTCCTAGCAACCCTGAGATGATTTTCCTCCATTTACCAAAGCAGCTGGGTCAGTGCTTTCTCGTGTTGCCATATTCTTCAGGTATTAGTGAGCTTCAGAAGCCCTGCTCCCATTTTTCCACCCACCCATTCCCCCATAAAAAAGCTTATTGTCTCTAAGACAATAGTCATTTAAAATGTGATGCAGGTTTATGATCCAGACCACAATCAGAATTATATCTTGGGTCATTTATGTGCCGTCTGTTCTTGATTCTCAGTGCTCTAAGTCGGTGTTTTTCAAACTGTGGTTGCAGTCCTTTGGTGGATTATGGCCAGCATTTTTAGAATAGGTAGAATAGAATAAAGTAAAATAGAAAACAGCAGAGTGCATTGCTCGCAGTGTGGGTAAGTATTGTTTTGTTACAGTCATATGTGCGCGTGTGTACTGAGTGCCATGTGAAATGTGTTCCTGCTGTGGTCAGAGGAGTTTGAAAGCCATTGCTTTCAGATTGCTCTCAATTATACTGACCCTAGTCAGGTGGGTCAGCCTGGGCGAGGGCCCACATTCCCATTTCCTTTCTGTAAGGGACAGCGGGCAGAGTTATCATTCAGCTCTTGACAGGCAGGGAGGAAGACCAGAGAAGAACATTGACATAGAGAAACAAGAGTTTATTCCAATGGAGAAGCAGCTGAACCGAGGGCTTGCCGCTGGGCCTGGGGTCTGCAGTTACAGAAGCAGCAGGACGCAGACAAGGAAAGGCACAGCACAGGACCCAGGAAAGCGGACCTTGTGGAGCAAGGCAGTGAGGGAGAGGAAAGCTTTTAGGATTCTGAGACCAGGTACTATGGCACACGTGATAAGTGAGCCCCTCTCCTTTCCTTCTGAGGGCAGGGGAGGCAGCCGGGAAAGGTCAGGCCAGGTGTCACAAGCAGCTCCTCGCATCCCGGTTCTTCTCTGTGCTGTTGCCCAGGCTGCGATCTCGGCTCACTGCAAGCTCCACCTCCCGGGTTCACGCCATTCTGCTGCCTCAGCCTCCTGAGTAGCTGGGATTACAGGGGCCCGCCACTGCGCCCGGCTACTTTTTTGTATTTTTAGTAGAGACGGGGTTTCACTGTGGTCTCGACCTCCTGACCTTGTGATTCGCCCGCCTCGGCCTCCCAAAGTGCTGGGATTACAGGGCGTGAGCCACGGCGCCCGGCCCCGGTTCTTCTCTAACCCAGTCTACCCCAGGCTCAGGACTCTGTCTCAGCCCAAGGGTCCCACCCAGTTCAGGTTAGCTCTACCACTGTCCTCCTCTCCCCCTGTTTGTTTGTTTATTTTTGGAGACTCCTTGGGTCTCACTCCTTCGCCCAAGCTGGAGTCCAATGGCACAAACTTGGCTCACAACAATCTTGTGCTTCAGCCTTCCAAGTAGCTGGGATTACAGGTGAGCACCACCATACCTGGCTAATTTTTGTATTTTTTAGTAGAGATGGGGTTCTGCCATATTACCCAGGCTGGTCTCAAACTCCTGACATTAAGTCATCCACCCGCCTCAGCCTCCCAAAGCGCTGGGATTACAGGCATGAGTCATTGCGCCCGGCCTCTTTCTTTACTCCTAATCCATGATTTGAGAGACTCACACCAGCCAGAAAGACTCTCAGCGGTCTGGCGTCTGAAGCTTCGGGTTCTTCTCTTCACAGTGAATTCAGAAAAGCCTCTCTCTCCTGACAGACCCCAAACTTCAAAAAAAAAAGAAAAACCCTCTGTCTTTTTGCTTTGGCAAAGCCTGGCGGGGGTTAGAAAGCCCCTGATTCCAGGACAAGGCGAGCTGAAGCTCAAGAGACCGGAGACGGGGATGGGAAGAAGGCCTAACGAGGTGGGTAGTTCCAGAAATCAGAAAGAATGCTAAATAGGTTCAGTCTGAGTGGTGACAGCCTCACTGTCCTGTCTGCCTCGTAGGAGCAGTTCTCTACAAGGCTCTGCCACACACACCCCCAAAGTTCAGGGGCTCGGTGGGTACAAAAAGCAAGTGGAGAAGGATAAATACCTAGTGTTAATAGCAGAAGTATGTCCAAGGTTTTGCACAGGGTAATCAAACAATAACTGGCTTCAGACATTTGCAGCCCCAGAAAAATAACTAATGAAAGCTCTCAGCCTTATGAGATGGACATTCCTATACTAACTCCATCTCTTTGTTGTATTGAATTCTGTCTCATGTTTCTTCCCCCACATCTGTGCAGATGTGCACAGAATCCAAGAGACAGACACCAGGAGGTCCAGGGACCCAGGTTGGTGAGGCGTGGCAGTGTAATTGTGGGAGATACTGAGCCCCAGAAGGTGTGGTGAGAGACATGGTGGTGTGGGAAGTTGAGTTGCGTTTGGGGTGGAATTGGGTGCTGGGCAAGGACAGCAGTCAGCAGAGCCTTCGACCCAGCCCAGGCAGGCACCCCATTTTGCTTAGCCTCCCATCTGTGGTCCTGGTTTGGCTTTGCTCTTCTTGGAGGGAAATGAATGAGAAACCTGGCGTCGTGGGCGCTCTAGTGAAAACTCCCCCTGGGGAGTAGGACAGCTGCTGAGAAGCAGAGAGGAATGTGGCCGGCTGGGGGAAATGGGACAGCAGGGCTCAGGGTGGTGATTGAAAGGGCAGACACCGGAGTCCCCAGCTACCTGGCTTCAAGAGCACCCGTTCCCCACACGCCTCTTCTGCTAAGGCAAGGTCTTTCCCTCTGGGGACTGACTGAGACAGCAGTCACTGGCCAGGTTCTTGGTACAGAGGCAGGAAGGGCAGCTCTGAGAACGGGGCTTTCAGCCGCAGCACTCCGCGCTCCAGGTCGATGCAGCACTGTGGGGTGTACAGCAGTCATGCGGGCTTACCTCAGCCCGTCACTTGCCTCCCACTTCCCACAGCTTCCACCTGCCTTTTGCTCTCCCCCTTATCCCCATTTCCCTTGACTCCTGTTGGAGGGGGTGACCCAGTTCTCTTGACTTTTCACTGGGTGGTGAGTAAGGAACCTCTAAGGAAGCAAAGGGACAATTGCCAATCTCTAAGTCACTCTCATCAGAACCTGGTCCAGGCTTCCACACCTCTGCCTTCTATTACTTTTTCCCGGTGCTTTGGATCAGGCCCTGAGTGTGGGTGCCTTACCTTGAGAGAAAGCAGAGTCTGCAGGCCCAGGCAGAATTCAGGACTCTCAACATCTGCAGGAACCATTTGAAAACAGAAGAGGCTGAGGGTTCCCAGCGGTCACTGCTGCCCTCCTCTCAGCCCTTGCTCCTTCTCTGCCCACCCCATCCCCAGATCCGAGGGCACTGGCACGGAGATGAGGGATGGTCAGAACATCTCTGGGGACTCCTTGTGCTGCAGGGACTGAAAGTCTCTGCCTTTGCCCCACCCTGAAGAGAAAGGTGAGAGGCGAGCACCAGGGCTGTTGCAGAAGGGGGGACTTACCCACCACCTGTGCCGAGCACACCACGGTCTCCTGCCCCAGCTGTAGCTCCAACTGCTCCACCTGGGTTGGGGGCCCAGGGGCCAGGTCCCCAGCTGAGGCTTTTAGGACCTTCTTCTCTAACCTGTGGTTGGGAAGCAAAGGTTATAGCTACCACAGCCCCCAGTGGGCTTCACCCCATTAATCAGCAGACGTCCCGCTCTACTGTGGGTTCACCTCCAACCCCTGACCTCACGTGGGGTCTAAATCCTTGCCTTCTCTGCCAGAGTCTTCTAGCCACTCTTTTGTTAAATAACAGCTTTATTGAGATAAAATATGCAACTGTCGTCACTATCTAATCTGAGAATATTTTCATCAGCCCAAAAAGAAACCCTGTCCCCCATTTGCTTTTTTGGGCCACTCTTACCCCAGGCGGCTGAGACATCCAGCAGAGATCCGATTGTATTGGGTGCCTGTGTCCACGGCCACTCTAAGCAGCAGGTCCTGGCACTGAGAAAGAGGGATTGTGCCGAATCAGTGAGTCCCTAGGAGAATGGGTTGGGATTGGGTCCTTCAGTTTCCCAGCCCACTGATGACTCCCTTTTAGAAATGAGTGGAGAAAACAAACTGTCTTTAAAACAGGCTTTTATCGGGGCCAGGTGCAGTGGCTCACGCCTGTAATGCCAGCACTTCGGAAGGCTGAGGTGGGTGGATCACCTGAGGTTGGGAGTTCAAGACCAGCCTGACCAACATGGTGAAACCCTGTCTCTACTAAAAATACAAAATTAGCTGGGCGTGGTAGTGTAAGCCTGTAATCCCAGCTACTTGGGAGGCTGAGGCAGGAGAATCGCTTGAACCCAGGAGACAGAGGTTGTGGTGAGTCAAGATCGCACCATTACACGCCAGCCTAGGCAACAAGAGCAAAACTCCATCTCAAAACAAACCCAAAAAAACAAAAACTGGTTTTTATGAGACTCACACAATAGGGGCAGAACTCCCGGATAAATCAAAAAAGGAAGTGGGCTAGGTGAGGTGGCTCATGCCTGTAGTTCTAGCACTTTGGAGGCAAGAGGATCACTTGAAGCCAGGAGTCCAAGACCAGCCTGGGCAACACAGCAAGACCCTGTCTCTACAAAAAATAAAACGGGGGAAAAAAAAAGTGGTTATATGTGATATGTTCATAAGTTTGGGGAAGATCTGCCAGAAATGGAGAAATGGTGATCTATCTAGAGGAATCCTTGGGAGTTTGATGGCCTCCTGGTTCGAAAACTCCAGGTTAGGAATAGAGGAAGGATGAGAAGACTGGAATCCCCTGTTAGGAAACTCAGCTATGGGTAACCAAGAAGTTTGCCATTGGAAACAAAGGAGGACAAGTTCACCTACTTTGGGACATAGACAGACATTTTGATATACACTTGGATATACACACAGGTCATTTTCTCATTTCAAACATTCGTTGAGTATCTGCTATAAGATATGTTACTGGAAGGTACATCAGTGAGTGCTATTCTGTAGGAGTCTAAAGGAAGTAAAATCTAACTCTACTATATGGCAGAAAGTTTTTTTTTTTTTTTTTTTTTTTTGAGACGGAGTCTCGCTGTGTCACCCAGGGTGGAGTGCAGTGGCACGATCTCGGCTCACTGCAAGCTCCGCCTCCCGGGGTCATGCCATTCTCCTGCCTCAGCCTCCTGAGAAGCTGGGACTACAGGCACCCGCCACCACGCCCGGCTAATTTTTTTTGTATTTTTAGTAGAGACGGGGTTTCACTGGGTTAGCCAGGATGGTCTCCATCTCCTCACCTCGTGATCTGCCCACCTCGGCCTCCCACAGTGCCGGGATTACAGGCGTGAGCCACCGCCTGTAGAAAGCTTTAAGGACTATTAAGGACTATAAAAGGATGTGAATGTCCCGGCCCCATGGCCCACACCTATGTATAATCCAAGTACTTTGGGAGGCCAGGGTGGAAGGATCGCTTGAGGCCAGGAGTTCAAGACCAGCTTGACCAATGTGGTGAAACCCCCATCTCTACTAAAAATACAAAAAAAAAAAAATAGCCGGGTGTGGTGGCACACACCTGTGATTTCAGCTACTCAGAAGACTGAGGTGGGAGGATCGCTTGAGTCCAGGAGGTTGAGGCTGCAGTGAGCTCTGATCATGCCACTGCACTCCGGCCTGGGTGACAGAGTAAGACCCTGTATCTTAAAAAAATAAATAAAAGGACTGGAAAAGTCAGGGAGCACAGTGGCTCACACCTGTAATCCCAGCACTTTGGGAGGCCAAGGTGGATGGATCTCCTGAGGTCAGGAGTTCGAGACCAGCCTGACCAACCTGGAGAAACCCCATCTCTACTAAAAATGCAAAAGTAGCCAGGCACGGTGGCATTTGCCTGTAATCCCAGCTACTCAGGAGGCTGAGGCAGAAGAATTGCTTGAACCCGGGAGGTGGAGGTTGCGGTAAGCCGAGATCACACTATTGCAGTCCAGCCTGGGCAACAAGAGTGAAACTCTGTCTTCAAAAAAAAAAAAAGGGCCGGGCGCAGTGGCTCACACCTATAATCCCAGCACCAGGAATTTGAGACCAGCCTGACCAACATGGTGAAACCCCGTCTCTACTAAAAATACAAAAATTAGCCGAGTGTGGCAGTGCGGGCCTATAATCCCAGCTACTTGGGAGGCTGGGGCAGGAGAATTGCTTGAACCTAGGAGGCAGAGGCTGCAGTGACCCGAGATCGCGCCACTGCACTCCAGCCTGGGTGACAGAGCGAGACTCCGTCTCAAAAAAAGAAAAAAATATTTTAAAAAAAGGATGTGAGTAACATGCCTTAGAGGTTGGGAGGCAGGAAAGGCTGTTTCCTACTGGGGAAATCAGAAAAGGTTTCAAGGAGGAGGTAACACCTGATCTGGGCTTTAAAAGCTTACAGAATGCGGACCCAGAATGATTGGAGAGCAAGAAGAGAGCAATCCAGGTAGAAGCAGCACAGAGCAAAGACGGTGGCTGAGGACCACTGGGAATTTATTGGGAACGTTCAGTAGTGACTGAGTGGTTAAATGGTTCCAGAGATTACAGGGCCAATGCCTTGGAACACATGAGTTTTTTCCAGAATTACGTTATCCATGCACGCACACCATTCGTCTGTGTAGAGCACACTGAGGAGTACTTACTTAATTTAAGTACTGTATTTTGACCAAGGAAAGGGGGCCGAGTAATGGTGGTGACAGACGGAGTTGCACCAAGGAAAGATGGGTTGGGGCAGGGAGGAAGGAGGTAGAGGATCCTGGTTAGGTCCAAGCTAGGGAGACAGATGTCCTTTCTCCCTCCTCCCTCTGCCATCAGGGCAGAAAGGAGAGCAGGTGAAGTGAGCGCAGGCAGGGTTGTTAATGAAAGTGTGTCCCTGGGAGGCCTCTCACCTTGCAGTTGACCAGAAGAGCTGGAATCTCTGTCCTGCTGGTCCTCCTCCTGCTCTCCTGGCCATGAATCAGGGCCTGCACCCGGGGAGACTCCCCCTGAAGCCAATTCGGGTTTCCCTCTACCAGGCGTCTTTGGATCACACTGTGCGGCTGCTGGCTCCATCACGAAACAATGAAGGTAGGCAGTTCTAAACCCAGGTATCCAGGCTGCTCAGTTACCCCACTTAGATATCCCAGGATGCTCCCCCAAACCCCCCACCCCAGACCTGAGCCTTATCCTAGGAGCTGACCCTAGGGTCCCAGCAGTCAGGTAATGAGAGCAGAGTAAGCCCCAGTATCAAATCATGCCATTTTCCTTGGACACTCATAGATTGCTCAGCAGTGAGGAAATGGGAAGAGGAGAATGGTCCGTTCTTGGTTAAACTGACTTAGTAGCTAAAGGGACATTTCAGGAATTAGTATGCTTGGGGGAAATTTTGTCTCAAACTTATATTTTTTTTTTAACTAGGAGGTTTGTTTTTTTACTTCCCCTCTGACCTCATCCTTCAGTGGGCTTCAAATCCCAGGGTTGGTGGTGTGATGAAAAACAGTAAGAAGCTCTTAAGAACTAGGCCAGGCGTGGTGGCTTATACCTGTAATCCCAGCACTTTGGGAGGCCAAGGTGGGTGGATCACTTGACATCAGGAGTTCGAGACCAGCCTGGCCAACATGGTGAAATCCTATTTCTACTAAAAATACAGCTGGGTGCGGTGGCTCACGCCTGTAATCCTAGCACTTTGGGAGACCTAGACGGGCGGATCACGAGGTCAGGAGCTCGAGACCATCCTGGCTAACACGGTGAAACCTCGTCTCTACTAAAAATACAAAAAAACTAGCCGGGCATAGTGGCGGGCACCTGTAGTCCTAGCTACTTGGGAGGCTGAGGCAGGAGAATGGCGGGAACCCGGGGGGGCGGAGCTTGCAGTGAACTGAGATCGCGCCACCACGCTCCAGCCTGGGTGACTGAGCAAGACTCCATCTCAAAAAAAAAACAAACAAACAAAAATTAGCTGGGTGTGGTGGCGCGTGCCTTTAGTCCCAGCTACTTGGGAGGCTGAAGTGTGATGATCACTTAAACCCGGAAGGCAAAGGTTGCAGTGAGCCAAGATCACACCACTGCACTCCTGTCTGGTTGACAGAGCAAGTCTCTATCTCAAAAAAACAAAACAAAACAAACAAACAGAAAACTCTTAAGAACTAGGATGCTGGGAATCATCTTTGACCCGTCCCTCATCTACAACCACTCCCATTCCATCCAGTCACTTCCCAGATTCTGCCGGTTTTGCTTCCTGTGTAGAATCAATCTGTCCCTCCTTTCCTTCTCTCTCGTCTTTCTTTCTTTTTCTTTTCTTTTGCCCTCTGTTCTTTCAAGATGGGATCTTGCTAAGCTGCCCAGACTGGACTCTAATTCCTTGGCTCAAGGCATTTTCTAGCCTCAGACTCCCAAGCAGCCGGGACCAGAAGCGTACACCACAGCACCTGGCCTCCATCCTTCCTTTCTGTTACCGCATGTGTTCCACACTCCACGCAGCTCTCTTGGATCCCTCAAACACCTTCTTAAGTTCATAACCTGTCTCCAGACCTGTTACCTTTCAAATACATCTGCTTGGAGCTTCAGACTGGAAGCTAAAAACCTTGCTACTCCAAAACGTGGTCCTCAGATCAGCAACTTTAACATCATTTCGAAGCCTCTTAAAAATGCAGACTCTCATACCTACTGAATCAGATGTTTCATTGTGACAAGATCCCCAGGTGATTTGTGTGCAGGTTAAAGTTTGAGAAGCACCAAAGTAAAACATGAAACTAACCATGTACTCTCTTATTTAAAATGCATCAAAGACCCCCTACCCCACATTGCTTGCTGGAGCTCAAGCTTTTGAAGGTGATCCACAGCCCAGATGACGGGGCCGTGCCTCCTTCCCTGCCACTCTATGGGCCCCAGAAGCACCACTCATACCAGGCTGCTTTTTGCCTCCATGCCTTCACTCCTCTCTCCTCTCTCCTCTCTTCCTGAAACTCCTCTTCCCCACTCTTCTCGAGGCTAGACTGAAGAACTGACTTAACACACTTTATTTGAGAGAGAGGTTGCATCTTAAGTTTGGGATTCTGTGTACATCTTACCATGCAGGATGTGCCTTCTCCAGGATACCCTCTCCGAGCTCTTCATGCTTCTCTCCATACACCCCAAGCTGGGGTCCCTTGTCTTAGCTCCCTTTGCCATGCTGCTCACAAATGTTATGTGTGGATTTTACTCTCCCATTAGCCTGGAAAGCCCCTGAGTCTACCTCGCTCATTTTTATATCCCAGGGCATGGCTCAGCATCTAGTAGGCACTCAATAAATGCTTGCTGCAGACTGACTCTCTCCCAGGCTCTACGCACCTCTCCACCTGCCCTCTCTCCTTGGGAGCCTGGGATTGTTTTTCTGCCCTTAGATTAATGAGGCCCTTGGGGTTGCTCCTGGCAGCGAAACTGCCAGCAGGAGACCCAGTGCTGGGGAAAGTTCAGCGAGCTCTGGGACTGGCTGGAGAGACTGGCTCTGCACTTCCCACGATGGACGCACGCTTCAGGCCCCTCCCACTGTTGTGCAGTTTGCTCCACAGCCATCCCAAGGAGGGAGACAATGGAGTCTCCCCTACCTGTCGTGCCTTTGCTCCCAAAGCCACAGGAGGTAACTGCTAGAGATCAACTGGGGACATCCTGGGCAGAGGGGAGAGGTGAAAAGCTCAGGACTTTCTCGTCAGAAGGCGGGACCTGCCACTTTGGGATGGCAATGTCAGTAGAGCACCTTCTCCTGGGGCCAAACAGATGTAGGATGGTCCCCAGTAGGTTCTAGCCATTGAGAACCAGAGAACCCACTTCCCTGCTCCATTCCTGTTTTTCAGCTATGCTTGCTGCCACTGCAAGGAGGAATAAGCCCCTGGCAGTTCCTTGAATTGAAGTCTCAGTGCAATCCCTTTTCCTTGTTGGGAGCTAGGGAATTGCCAGGCCTCTGGGCCGTGGTCCTGGTGTGGGCACCCAGGCTGAGAGGAGTGTGGAAAGGTAGAGCTAAGTAGAGAAAGGTAGCAAGGCGCTGCACTGGCCTTCAGCTTCCCTGGGAGAAGCAGTTGGTGGAGCGCAGGCCGCAGATACGCTTCCAACCTCTCAGTACGGGCCTGGTTGAGTACCTGTTCTCAGACTAGGAGAGGGGCTGGGAATCGAGTGCTCCCAAGCCTTCCCACAAAGGATTCCCTCTCTCCCATGGGTCAGAGGCCAGGAATATTTCTCAGACTAAATGGAATAGTAGCTGGGGGAATAATCATGGCATTTAGATAGCGCCTGCTACTACGCACTGTTCTAAGTGCTTTAAATATATCAGCTCTAACAACTCTCCCAACAAACCTGTGATTGCTTTTATTCTCATTTAACAGATGAAGAAACTGAGGCACAGAGACGTAAAGTCAATTGCCCAAGTTAGTAAGTGGCAGAGCCAGGATCTGATCCCAAGCAAAGTGGCTCCATGGCCCCGCTTGTCAGCACTGCCTCAGAGAGGAATGCCTGAATCTGCAATTGTCCCCCGCCCACTCACATCCTTACTGTTACTCCCCTGCCCCATTCCTCTGAGGCCAAAGCTGCTGCAGACGGATGGGAGGAGAGGAGCCTGGAAGGTCTATTCCACTTACGAGTGGGGGGAGCAGCATTCAAGGCGGCCAGGGGCCCCTAGCAAGAGCCGCACAAAACCCTGATGCCCTGGAAAGGATGGAGACCCCCCGATGCTTTGATTCTGAGGAGAAAGGACAAATGGATAGACAGACCTGGTGGAGGGAACCTGTGGTTCAGGGGGAGCAGGAAGTCACAACCCTAAACTGGCCAGTCCTCCAGGCCCTCCCAGTTTTAAGTGACCACTCTAGAAGGTTCCTGTGTTCCTGTAAGCCCCCACTCCTAAACAGCCTAGCTCCTCACCACCCTCAAGTTTTGGGCCATTAGAGGGAAAAGGCAGGGAAGCTAAGCAGTGAGAATAGGACCCCTCAGAGCCACCAAACCATGGTAACATCCCCAGTGAAGAGCCTCAAGTTGACACACGACCTCTCCCCGTCTCAGCAAGGGAGCGGGACCTGAAAGCTGAGGGTCTGCACGTTCTGGTCCTGCTCAGGATCTGAGAAGTGGAAGGAAAGGGCCAGAGGACGCGGGCGGGGGAGGGGGATGCCTCACCAAATCCTTGGAGGTGCCGAGCCTCTTGAGGCTGTCCAGCGGGAGCAGGTCGGCCGAGTCCTTGTGCAGGAACTGGGTGGCCTGTTTGAGCCGGCGCTGCTGGCTCAGGTGGGCTCGGTCTCGAAGCTGTGCCTCCTGCCCCCTCGTCCTGGCTTCTCCCTCATCTCTCCTGGCTTCCTGCTTGGTGCTCATGGCCCCTGCTGGAGGAGTGGGCCGGGGGCTGCTCAGGGGGGCGTCACCGAGTCCTCTCTGCTTCTTCCTGCCTGTCTCCGTCCTGTGCTGCAGCTCTCCTTCCAACAGGAGGGTCCCCGCGGGAGGGAAAGAGGAAAGAAATAAATAATGTTCAGGAGCAGCCGCGTCGTCTCCAATTTCCCGAGATTGCTGTAGAGGGAGTGAGACTCCGGCTGGAAAAACCCAGTCCTAGAAGAGAGGGAGGGTTGGCAGGGCCCGCAGCTGGCTGACTTGGCCCCGTCCCCAACGCTGGGGTCCTGTTCAGAGCGGGCGGTGGATGGGGCGTGGGGGTGTGTGTGTGTGTGGGGGTGTGTGTGTGTGTGTGTGAGAGAGAGAAGGAGAGACAGACAGTACTGTAAACTGTCAGGGTGCCTGTGCCAGGTGGTTTGCAAGGAAGCGCCTGTCACTGTGTGGGGGCGGCAGCCCTAGTGCCCCTCCCAGCCTGTGTGGCCCCCCCTTCCTCTGCATCCCTCCCAGGCTTCCCAGGGCCGCCCAGCTGTTTTCTCTGCAGCCCAGGGCTGGCGTGCAGGCCAATAACTGGATTCAGATCAGAGAGGGGCAGCACGAGAGTGTCCTTCCCTCCTCCCATCCCCCTAGCTTTACCTCCTTAGGTCTCTTCCCTCGTGCCCAGCAGATGTCAGAGTCTTTAACTAATTGACTCTGGATTCTGGGTTCCAGGGAATGGCAGGAACACCTCTGAATCTTCCCCCGAGTAGAAATGGCATCTCAGTCTCCTTTACATGACTCTCCTCAAGTCCTGGCTCTTTAAAAAACGTTACATTTCAAATATACAGAAGTTATAACGAGTAAGATAACCAGTACTCTTTACTGATCACCAGTTTAAAAAATAAGCTGTTGAAGCTCCCCGTGCACTTCCACTTCTGCCTGCTGAAATCGGTGTTTATCAAGCCCATACTTCTTTATATTCTTTATGCAAATACTTCCATATGCATTCTAAGCAATACATCATTGGTTTTGTCCTACTCACTGTATTTATTCTTCTGCAGTCTGCTCTTTTTTGCTCAATATTTGTTAGTGAGATTCATCCATACGATATGCCTAGCTCTAGTTAAGTGACTTCACCTGCTGTGTAACATAGTATTCCACTAGATGCATGCATGACATTGAGGAAATGGAGGTTATTTTTCATTTTTAGGTCTAACAAACAATGCTGCTGTGAATATTTTTGCACACATCTCCTGGGGCACCTGTGTCAGCATTTCTCTAGAGTATACACCTACACCTAGGAGTGGAATTGCTGGGACGTCCCATATACAGCTTTGCCTTTTTGGCATATTGCCAGAGTGTTTTTACCAGTGCACACTCAGACAGCTGCACACGGGGGCTCCTGAGGTTCCACATCCTCTCCAGCACTTGGTATCAGACTTTTTCTAGCCCTGGCGTATCAGTAGATTTTTCTCTCCAGCCTTTCCTCTTCACCATCAGAGAAATGCATTGGCCAAGCACCTGTTTACCTGTGTTGGACTCTCACAGGATGATTACCCCACCTGAGCCCTGCTCCCTAAGGGTGCAGTCCGACCCAGACAGCTCCAAGGCACGTGCACATTCAGGCAAACCAGATGTCTACTGAACTTCTAGGAACCAAGCGTCTTCGAGACACTTTCACAACCACTGCAATTATATGAAGAAAGATTGTATTCTAATCCCCATTTAGAGGGAAAGAAAGTGGTATGGTTGAATTGTTTCCTTCACCCCCCAAATGTACCCCTAACCCCTAGTACCTCAGAATGTGACCTCATTTGGAGATGGGACCTTTACAGACATGGTGAAGTTAAGATGAGGTCATTAGGATGAGCCTACTCCCATATGACTGCGCTCTTACTAGAAGGAGGAAATTGGACACAGAGAAATGCACACGGGGAGAACGCCATGTGAAGGCTGAGATCGGGATGATGCGTCTGCAATTCAGAGAGCACCCGAGATGATCAGCAAACCCCCAGAAGCCAGGGGAGAGGTGTGGAGCGGACCCTACCTTACAGCTGTCAGAAGGAACCCGCCCTGCAGCACCTTCCTGTTGGTTGTCGGGCCTTGCCCATGACACCTCAGTTTCCTCCCCTCATCATTTTTTTGACCTAACAGAGAATTAAAAAAAAAAAAAATTAGCTAGGCACAGTGGCTCATGCCTCTAATCCCAGCACTTTGGGAGGCTGAGGTAGGTGGATCACTTGAGGTCAGGAGTTCGAGACCAGCCTGGCCAATGTAGTGAAACGCTTTCTCTACTAAAAATACAAAACTTAGCCAGGCATAGTGTCGCATGCCTGTAATCCCAGCTGCTCAGGAGGCTGAAGTGGGGGAATCGCTTGAACCTGAAAGGCAGAGGTTACAGTGAGCCAAGATCACGCCACTGCACTCCGGCCTGAGTGACAGGGTGAAATTCCGGCTCAAAAAAAAAAAAAATTAATTAATCAACAAGGAATAACTCCATTGGTCTCTAATAATGAGACAGAAGGGGAAGAAACTTCATCCAACTATTCAGGAAGATTAAGCCATTCTGAACTGTTAGGAGTAGAAGTGAGCGTGTTCTCGTCCAAGACATTTGGAAAATGTCTTATTCTCTGAAGTGAATGGATCTGAGTTCAGAAATTCTGAGAGAAAAAAATGAAAGTGTGAAATATGGCTCCTTCACTGCATTGGTTCTTCTCTGAATGAAGTTTCTTTTTTTTTTTTTTTTTTTGAGACGGAGTCTCGCTGTGTCCCCCAGGCTGGAGTGCAGTGGCGCGATCTCGGCTCACTGCGAGCTTCGCCTCCCGGGTTCACACCATTCTTCTGCCTCAGCCTCCTGAGTAGCTGGGACTACAGGCGCCCGCCACCGCGCCCGGCTAATTTTTTTTTTTGTATTTTTAGTAGAGACGGGGTTTCACCGTGGTCTCCATCTCCTGACCTTGTGATCCGCCCGCCTCGGCCTCCCAAAGTGCTGGGATTACAGGCGTGAGCCACCGATGAAGTTTCTTTTCATTCAGAAAAATATTTATTGAGCACCTACCACGTACTGGACACTGAGCTAGGCCCTGGGTGTACAGTGGAGAGCTAGATGAGGTCCCTGCCCTCGTGGAGTTCACATTCTAATGGAGAAGGTAGATAATGAACAACTAAATGTATAAGCTCAGGTGATAGTAAGTGCTGAAGAAAATACAAGATGGAATAGTATGGAGCCATAAAAAATAACAAAATCCTGTCCTCTGCAGCAACACGGAGGCAGCTGGAGGACACTATCCTGAGAAATTATTCTCAATTCTAGCAGAATGTTCTTTTTTAAATCTAAGTCCTGGTGGCTGTATTCAAAGTCCGTCCTCTCTTCTCCAAGCCTAGCAGAGATGGAGATGAACTGTATCCCACCTTCCTTGTCACAGCCGTTCATGCCTTCAAAGATCTTTCCATCTTTTCAACATTCATTCCTCAAGGCTGAATAGTGCCCATTCTTGTCTCTGCTGGTAGGGATGGAGAGGAGAGCTCCTCCGGCCCAGTGAAATCACCCAGTGCAGTGCCCTACCACATAAGGAAATTCTCAGAATATTCTTTATAGAATGGGTTATTCAGAGCTAGACAAACAAGCTCTCTTGAACCCGTGGAGGGTGAAGGGCAGCCAGTTCTATTTCAGGCTTTCCCCCCTGGCCTGTCAGATGTGCTGAAGACAGGAATGAGGCTGTTCTCCAGAGTTCTCCAGTCCAGCAGAGGCCCCCGGCACCCCTTGCTGCCAGGAGAGCACACCTCCCCACCGCCATCCCAAAGAGGTGGATCTTCCAAAGGCTACCAGACAAGGACATTTTATATTTCTGACACTAGGATGATTTTCCTATTTCATGGATGGCAAAACCAAGGCACGAAGAGGTCAAGTGCTTTGGCTCTGTTGATGAAAGCAGCCTGAGCATGGCATGGTGAACTCAGAGGAGCCTGGTCAAGAGTTCCAATTCATGGCTGAGCACAGTGGCTCATGCCTGTAATCCCAGCACTTTGGGAGGCCACAATGGGTGGATCACCTGAGGTCAGGAGTTCAAGACCAACCTGGCCAACATGGCAAAACCCCATCTCTACTAAAAATACAAAAATTAGGTGGGCATGGTGGTGTGTGCCTATAGTCCCAGCTACTCAGGAAGCTGAGGCAGAAGAATTCTTGAACCCGGGAGGTGGAGGTTGCAGTGAGCTGAGATCGTGCCACTGCACTCCAACCTGGGTGACAGAGCAAGACTCCATCTCAAAAAAAAAAAAAGAGTTCCAACTCTGTCCTTGTACTAGCCAGGTGACCTTGGGTGAAGTGCTTAATCTTCTGGCATTTGCTTCTTCATCTGTAAAAATGAAATAACACATAATCTATAGAGTTGGTGTGAAGTTTAAATGAGGCAGAATAGCAAAAAATAGTAAACTAGGCCAGGCACGGTGGCTCACACCTGTAATCCCAGGACTTTGGGAGGCTAAAGAGGGAGGACCTCTTGAGCCCAGGAGTTCAGCCTGGGCAACATGGCAAAACCTTGTCTCTACTAAAAATACGAAAAAATAGCTAGGCGTGGTGGCACACATCTGTGGTCCCAGCTACCTGGGATGCTGAAGTGGGAGGACTGCTTAAGCCTGGGAGGTAGTGGTTGCAATGAGCCAAGATCACACAACTACACTCCAGACCCTGTCTCAAAAAAAATAAAATAAGGCCAGGCCTGGTGGCTGATGCCTGTAATCGCAGCACTTTGGGAGGCTGAGGTGGGCGGATCACATGAGGTCAGGAGTTCGATACCAGCCTGCCCAATGTGACGAAACCTCGTCTCTACTAAAAATACAAAAATTAGCTGGACATGGTGTTGTGCACTTGTAATCCAAGCTACTTGGGAAGCTGAGACAGGAGAATCACCTGAACCAAGGAGGCAGAGGTTGCAGTGAGCCAATATCACACCAGCCTGGACAGCAGAGCAAGATCCTGTCTCAAAAAACAATAAATAGTAGTAAATTATATGCCTCAATTTACTATCTCCAAGATGGAAATCATATAGGACCTACCTTCAGCACTCCTGTACCTCCCTCTTTGTTTATCTTTTTTTATTTCCTGTTCCACTCCTCTGTATTTTTTCCCTCCTCCTTGCCTAAGCTGTGGGCCTGCACGTGGCACCCTTGGACACAACCTCCCCTTTCTAGTGATACTCAGACTAATGAAGTCACTGACTATTGTTTGGGAACCATGTCATGATACCTAGTGTCAGTGTTCAGTAAACACCCAGTAAACATAAGGGTAGTCTAAGGGAAGCCACACATCGAAATTCCTACCTTGGAATTTGGACAATGGCAAGATGCAGCAACATTCTTTAAAAGCATGGAGGCATTCATGAGGCTCTGCCCTGGGACTGGCAGAGAATGAATTGGCTTGGGACTAACATAAGTGGAGCAACCATGTGAATAGCCACAGGAACCGCTAACTGCAATGGCAAGTAGGCAGCAGCCGCTATTTACACTGTGTAATGAAAAAAGCGAATGTGTGCGGCTCGGTGGCAGCACAGCTAAGGACAGGGCTCAGTGCTGGAAAAGAGGCATGAAGACAAGGGGCTCCTAGCAAGCGAGGCAGCGATGAGTAGAAATGAAGGCCGGAGGGTCCTAGGGAAGGTGGAAGGTAAGTTGGGAGCTGTCTGCAGAGGGGATCTTGGCTCAGATTTGTCATCTCAAGGAGCAGCTATGGGGCTTTTTGAGGCATGGTAATTAG